TTCCCAATCCAGAGAGGGAATCTCTCATCCAGGGAGCAACACCCGCTTAACCCCTTAAGGGGTACTCTGATTGACGTGGATCATCATTAAAGCCCCAAGGATCCTGTCTGATGACCATCCATCCCTAAGAGGGAAGACATCTTTGTTCCTGACTTTCCTGGATGACTTCTGGAGTAATATTTACAGGAGCCTTTTGTATGCGCGTCCGGTGAGTGCGCATTACTCACACTACTATTGCAGAGACACTGGTTTCCAGGAAAACAAGCACCTAAACATCACTAGAGTCACTTTGAACTGTTTTTATTTATGAACTTTGCATTTGAATACATATGCCTTTTAGTTGATTTTATATTATTAGCGCTGCACCTCTTTTTATATCGTGTTTTGATTCATCCTGCCCACTGTCACGTCAAGCTTATTCTCAATGGTATTAAAGTGCTACTAAACCGACAACAGTAAAATCAATCTGTATATGCAGAAAAGCACACTAGATATACTTACTGTGGAACCTAAGGGGTTAATTCTCTGCATTGTGTTAAAATGCTGTTTGATCCTGTCTTCTCTGGGCCTCCCCTTCTTCCAGTCCCCCCTCTTATCTCCTGATAAGACATATCGTGTGGAGACACTCTGCACATGCTCAATTTGGTGTGTATTGCTAAAGAGGTTTTTTTTTTTCTTGGGAGAGCGCATGTGATCAGCACAGGGCCTATCAGCACTGTCCAGACAGATGTCAGGGGTTCTGCATCCTTCTAAAGCAGAAAGAAGCCTCCTCCTACTATCTTTAACTAGTGCTCTGCTGAACACTGATAGAAGTCACAAGACTGCTCTAAATGCTGATGAGAAAAGGTATTTAGCAGTTTATATTTACTGAAATAATTGCATTTCCATGTTCTGTGTACTTCTGGAGACCAGATAAAGTGAAGCAGGATCCTGGGTTTTGTAATACTTTAATTCTGGTTCCCAAATCCTTGAACTCCTATTTTAAATCCTCAGTAATCTTCCTACTTGCTTTTCCAGCCCCTGTTCCAGTAGGGTGGAAAAGCATGCCAGTATAATGAGGTCACCAGAGTATTCAGGCTTGGGGGGCAGAATACTGGGTATGGAGGAACTCTGGAGATTGGTCTGATAATTAAGAATATCTCCCATTGCCCTGTCCAGGGAAGACCCCGAGGAGAAGGGAGACTCACCACTTTGTTAAAGTTGAGGTTTTTGTTGCTGGGCAGAATAAAAATGCAAAACGCAGCAAAAATGCACTACCATGGATTTCAGCAGCTTCACCATTGAACTCTAGTGTAGTAAAAACGCTGCTTTTTGCTTTTTAAAAAGTTCTTGACCCTTTCCAAAAACACAGCAGCTCAAAAAAGCATAGATGTGAACATGTTCCATACACTCCATGTTAAATGGACTGTAGTGCATTTCTGCAAAAGCACTAAAAAAAACGCATTGGTGTGAACAGAGCCTTAAAGAGGAATCCAAAAGCATTCATAGGTTCTCTTCCATTGTCCTTGGAATGTGTGTGTTTGTCAGCCTGCAGTAGTAACATTAAAGTGTTAGTGACTCAGATCTAGAAAGTTCTCTGCTGGCACAGTTGAATCAACAGTTTCACTTTCGGCTGTTCAAGAGCTCAGTTTAATCACTGAAACACTGGGGTTTATTTACTAAAACTGGAGAGTGCAAAATCAGGCTCACTTCTGCATAGAAACCAATCAGCTTCCAGGTTTTATTGCCAAAGCTTAATTGAACAAACTGAGGTTAGAAGCTGATTGGTTTCTTTGCAGAAGTGTAATTGGAATGGATTTACCAAAAGTGTAGATTATGTTCACCTTTCAAAGTGAATTTTGCTTAGTAAATTAGGTGAATCTAAGTAAACAATCACTTTTAATGGAATACCAAATTATTCAACTCATCTAACGGTTGAATACTTGAAACAGCTGGGAAGCGGAGATATGATTAACCGGGCCGATGGGAGAGTATATAGTTTCCTCACAGGTGACCTATTTTGTGAACTAATAATAAATAGGTAGGCACTGTGCATAAAACGAAAAAGAGTTCACCCATGTGAACACAATATAATTGCTGGATAAATGGGCCTACTGAGAAAGCCCGAATCTGGGGCGTAATGTGTAAAGGGGGAAGGAGCTGAGCCCTAGACATTTTGAATTGATGACCATCTGGGAGAGCGGAGTGGTGAGACATGTAACAAAATATACATTATATGCTGACTTGTTTCTTACATTTTAATTGGTATTCTTTCTTTCCATACATCACATGTACCTCCACAAACGGGTGACTGTGGTTTTCCGTCGCTGCGACTGTGTTTGTGTTGTGAATGCTGAACAAACAGTGGTATGGCATAATCAGCAAGGATTACCTGTCATAATCTCTTTATGCATCTTTTGGTTAATATATTGGCAATTTCACTTCAGGCTTCCTGGCTATACAACTATGAAGTGTGGGTGATGGAGACCATGCTTGGAGGAACTTTAAGAGAATATCTTGGCTTATAAAACACAATGTGATATATGACCACCGTTATGGGTTCATATAGGTCTGGTGGTAGTGAGCCATTTGTTTGCCTTTGCACTGAGGTGTGGATACACGGATCTTCTTGTCACTATTATAGAGCTTTATAAAACAATAAAGAACTGTTACACTTTATGTTTATTTAGAAAGTGGTCGAAGCACTAGGACTTTTTTTTATGGCAATAGGATTAATATATGGCTATTGATTATACTGTTTGATGAATAGTTTACCAACGGGTTGTCCACCCACAGATAACCAATATCCAGCAATTATATTGTGTTCACTTGGGTGAACTCTTATTCATTTTATGCACAGCGCCCGGCTATTTATTATTAGTTCATATATACACCCTGTTCCAAATTATTATGCAAATTCTATTTAAGTGTCACAAAGATTAAATATTTTGTTTTTCAGTTTAACTCATAGATGGCATTGTGTCTCAGGGCTCTTTTGATCACTGAAAACAATCTCGGACACCTGTGATAATTAGATTGGCAGGTGAGCCCAATTTAAGGAAAAACTACTAAAGGAGGGTGTTCCACATTATTAAGCAGAGCACCATTTTCAAGCAATATGGGGAAGAAAAAGGATCTCTCTGCTGCCGAAAAGAGTGAACTAGTTCAATGCCTTGGACAAGGTATGAAAACATTAGATATTCCACGAAAACTTAAGCGGGATCATCACACTATTAAGAGATTTGTGGCCAGGGGCGGACTGACAACTCCTGGGGCCCCCGGGCAATAGGGGATCATGGGGCCCGTGTCCTTGCCCAAACTCAAAAAAGCCTATGAAAAAGGTACCAGGGGCATCTTATGGGGCCCCCTACTGACCCCGGGCCCTCGGACAGTGCCCGAGTTTCCAAATGGTCAGTCCGCCTCTGTTTGTGGCTGATTCAGAGCACAGACGGGTTTGTGCAGATAAAGGCACATTGAGGAAGATTTCTGCCAGATCCATGCATTGGATCAAGAGAGCAGCAGCAGCAGCTGCTAAAATACCATTACCTAGCAGCAAACAGATATTTGAAGCTGCTGGTGCCTCTGGAGTCCCACAGACATCAAGGTGTAGAGTCCTCCAGAGTCTTGCAACTGTGCATAAACCTTCTATTCGGCCACCACTAACCAATGCTCACAAGCAGAAACGACTGCATTGGCTAGAAAAATACATGAAGACTAATTTTCAAACAGTCCTGTTCACTGATGAGTGCCGTGCAACGCTGGATGGTCCAGATGGATGGAGTAGTGGATGGTTGGTGGACGGCCACCCTGTTCCAACAAGGCTGCGACGTCAGCAAAGCGGTGGTGGAGTCATGTTTTGGGCCGGAATCATGGGAACAGAGCTGGTCAGCCCTTTTAGGGTCCCCGAAGGTGTAAAGATGACCTCTGCAAAGTATGTGGAGTTTATGACTGACCACTTTCTTCCCTGGTACAGAAGGAAGAACTATGCTTTCCGTAATAAAATCATCTTCATGCATGACAATGCACCATCTCATGCTGCAAAGAATACCTCTGCATCAATGGCTGCTATGGGGATAAAAGGAAAGTCATGGTGTGGCCTCCATCCTCCCCTGACCTCAATCCTATTGAAAACCTTTGGAGCATCCTCAAGCAAAAGATCTATGAGGGTGGGAGGCAGTTTACATCCAAACAGCAGCTCTGGGAGGCTATTCTGACATCTGGCAAACAAATTCAAGCAGAAACTGTCCAAAAACTCACAAGTTCAATGGATGCAAGACTTGTGAAGCTGCTATCAAATAAGGGGTCCTATGTTAAAATGTAACGTGAACTGTTAAAATGTTTAAAAAGTTAAAATATTGTTAAAAGTTTGATTGAAATAGCTTTGGATTTCAGTAAATATGCTGCAAACACAACAAATGACAATTTTCAGTTCTTTACAACCTATAAATTGTTTTGAAACTTACTGTGCGTAATAATTTGGAACAGTGCATTGTAAGTTTTTTGTTTTTTGCTTTGTTTTTTTTTGTTTAAAAAAAATACTGTTATTAGGAGGTTTTGTTCAATAAAATTTGAATTGTACTCTTAATAGTTGATAACATGAGAATTATGCTGACTGTTATTTACATCAATTATTTAGGTAAATGAGAAAAATATAATTTGGAACAGGGTGTAGGTGTCACTTTCACTTTTTAGGGGCAGCTGCAAAACCCCCTGGGGGGGGGGGTAAATATTAATTAACCACTAGCCTACAGGGCACTTCTACCCCCTTCCTGCCCAGGCCAATTTCCAGCTTTCAGCGCTGTCACACTTTGACAATTGCGCGGTCATGCAACACTGTACCCATATCAAATTTTTATCATTTTTTTTTGAGACAGAGCCTTCTTTTGATGGTATCTAATCACCTCTGGGATTTTTATTTTTTCTTAAACAAACCAAAAACTACTGAAAATTAAAAATAAACCAACGTTTTTTTATTAGTTTTTGTTATACAATTTTGTAAATAAGTGATTTTTCTCCTTCACTGATGTGCGTTAATGAGGCTGCAGTGATGGGCACTGATAGGCTGCACTGATAGGAGGCACTGACTGGCGGCACTGATTGGCATTGATGGGTGACATTGAAAGGCAGCTCAGATGGGCACTGATATGTGGCATTGATGTGCACTGGTATGCACTGATGGGCACTGGCATGTGGCACTGCTGAGCACTGACAGGTGGCACTTCTGGGGCCACACTGATCATCAGTGCCCTGATGATCAGTGTACATGTCCCCTCCACGGAAAGCCGATTACTGGCTCTCCTCTCGAGCTGTCAGCGTGACAGCTCGAGAGGAGAGAAATGCTGATAAACGACATTTCCTTGTTTACATGTGATTGCTGTGATTGGACACAGCTGATCACATGACTGAGCTGACATCTTCGGCTCTTTCCGTGATCCGCTGTGTCCGAGGGACACAGCGCACCGGCGAGCGCTGCACGCTCCCTGAGCCGCGCATGCGCAGTGACAATGGTAGGACGTCATATGACGTCCTATCAGAATGAGAGAACCACCTTGGGCCCGTCATTGTACTATAGGGTGGGCGAAAGGTGGTTAAACAGCAATTTATTCTTCATTATATATTTTTTTTCACTTCTAGTATTTGGTGCCACAATAATTTTATTTTTCAAGGACCTATTTTGTGACTTTGTGGGTGACAGGGTCATTTTAACCTGGAAGTATGTCTTTGAGAAGGTTGCTGGACCTGGCAATTTAGCAGCACACATCAGCATAGAACTACAAGTCCAAGCAGGCCTTGGAAGCACACAAGAGGAGTGGAACTAAGACGTCCCACATGGTAGGTGTAAAATTACAAGTCTCAACATTCATTAGCAGCACAGGCTTGTACAAAAAAGTTCCAGCAGTCCATGAGCGTGGGCAGCACGCAGCCAATGATCATTTTTATACATATGTGGCTTAGTGAGGGGGCCTAGGGTAAGGAGAAACTTTTGGACTACTGGCAGCATGCTCCTCAAGCATTTTGCGATTTGAGTTACACCGCATGAGGCCTGGGTTTTGATCTGCCAAATGCATACAGCTCAAGATCAGGAGCAGCAGTGGACTGCCCATTTGGAAACTCGGGCACTGCCCAAGGGCCCCGGGTCAGTAGGGGGCCCCATGAGATGCCCCTGGTACCTTTTTTCATAGGCTTTTTTGAGTTGTCAGTCCGACCCTGATCAGGAATCATAGCTCTAAAGGTGTCTGAGGAGACACTGGAAACTGAGGAAAGAGGCTACAGGGACCAATTCCCCACACCCCTTACAGGAAAGACTGTTTTTGAGTGACATGCTTTGCTTCTCAAATTATAACAGGTTTTGCCATTTTGAAGCTTTATAATGCTCAAATATTATCTTGTGCTCATGGGTTAAAGGAATTTGAAAAGTGAGGACCCAGTGCGGCGAGTGTATAGTATTTTATTTAGCATTTTAGGTGGGTCCATATCATTTAAGCATGGCAACACACCTTTAGTTCATAAAAGACCTCTAATGTGTGTTCTTTACAATCTTTGTCTTTTAACCACTTGCCCTCCAGAGGATTTACCCCCCTTCCTGACCAGGCCATGTTTTGTGATACGGCGCTGCGATACTTTAACTGACAATTGCGTGGTCATGCAATGCTGCACCCAAATGAAATTTACATCCTTTTTTCCCCACAAATTAGAACTTTCTTGTGTTGGTATTTGATCGCATATGCGTTTTTTTTTTTTTTTTTTTTTTTGCTTTAAACAAACTGACAATTTTGAAGAAAAGCTATATTTTTGACTTTTTGCTATTAAACATGTCCAGTAAAAAAATTTAAGAAATCAAATTTCATCACTTTAGGCCAAAATGTATTCTGATACAGGTCTTTGCTAAAAGAAAATCCCAATATGTGTACATTAATTGGTTTACGTGAAAGTTATAGTGTTTACAAATGGCTGCATATATACACTGGAATTTTTAATTTTTTTTTACTAGAAATAGCGTCAATCAGCAACTTATAGAGGGACTGCAGTGGGCATTCTGACACTGGGGGGAACTGACTTGGTGTCACTGATATCCCCAGTGCCACCCAACACAGTGATCAGTGCTAATAAAAAGCACTGACACTGTACTAATGGCACTGGGCAGGAAGGGGTTAACATTTGGGGCGATCAAAGGGTTGTGTGCTGTTTTTTACTATGTGGGCTGTGTGTGTGTTTCACTGTAAGTACACTGCTTTGTATGGCTCTGCTATGCAGAGCCATACAAAGCAGTGTGCAGGAGCTGACGGGAGAGATCTGTATTGTTTACATACAGGTCTCTCCCCCATTGGAACTCCTCGGAGATAGCCAGGTGCTGGCGGGGAATCACTGGCCTTGTCCCGCTGATTGACAGCCATGCCTTGAATGGTGGCGCAGGTAGGACACGCGCGCCCCCTATCGTGAACTGCAAAATCACATTATTTATATGTGTGTGATTTTGGCTCTATATATGTGATTTTGAGCACCCGTGCCTCCCTGTAGCAGTATTTCTGCTATAGGGCGGTGCGGAAGTGGTTAAAGAATATGTAAACTCAACATTTCATATTCCTGCTTTGTGCCTGCTGTGTGAAATACCTGGTGTTCTTGCCAGGCCCTCTGCTTTCCTAATAAAAACTGACCACACTAAGCAGGAGCACCAGCACAGAATATTTCCTGTGCATGACATTTTGGTGGACACAACCCCCTGATGAAGCCACGTGACCAGTGGCGTAACGCGTAGGGGTGGGGCTGCGACGTCACTCGGAGGTAGCCGGATTGCTTGACCTCCGAGTGACATCGTCGCATAAAATGTGAGTGTACTACTTGGAAGGAATAAAGGAGCATTTTTTAAAAAGGATAAAACACTATGTTTGAATTTTTTTCCTATATATGGAGAGACGCATAAAGAGGAGAATATAGGAGGCTTGTAACATTACAAGGGGGGATTAATCCCAGAGGGGATAACCAGTGATATAGGATATCCCTATTCCACAAGAAAGGAGCCCCTTACTCCAATCTAAAAAGGAAAAAAGTCTTAATCAAGCAGGTTCCAAAGGAGGTGAACCAAAAGCGCATATAGCCTAATTGTAGGCAATTAAGGAGGTGAGCTTACATCTGTACTAATTGGAGGATTCACAAACAGTCACGGATTGAAGATTATATAAAGCACAAGAGTCACTATTTTTATTTTTATGATTAATGGGACACTTTCTTTATACAACACTAATTATATATGAGTGTTTATTCATAATTATTTTTGTAAATTATATTTTTTGCTTATTATGAAATTTGCTTAATAATTAATTTTGATAATCCCTGATATTTATTACATTATTAATTATTGAAGTTTTATAATCAAAAATATTTTTTTGGGTATTTAGTTATTATTATATATGAATACTTAATTGTGGTTAATTGTATGACTATACGTTATTACTTTTTCTGTAATTAGTTATCTTGAAGGATATAAATAGAGGGTTATTAGTACTAAAAAAGATATTATAAATTAATAAGGAGCGCAACACACTTTGGTGAAATAATTTTGGTGGACACTATTAGGAAGGAGTGGCAGGACCCGGAAAGGAAGCCGTTCTTCTCTAAGGCGTTGAGAAGGAGGTTTCCATTTTCGGAAGACCCGGAGGCGGTCTGGAACAAGAGCCCTAGGCTAGACACGGCCTTTTCCCAAACGACCAGGAGAACTGACCTGGCGTTTGAAGACATGGGGGTCTTACCAGACTTATTAGACAGAAGGGCGGAGTCTCTCCTTAGGAAGGCCTGGGACTCAACCCTGTACAACCTGAAGCTGGCCATGGCTACGACGGTGGTAGCCAGAAATTTAGAGTACTGGCTTACACAATTGCAGGCCCATATTGTGGCAGACTCTCCCAAGGAGAAAATCTTGGCCTCTTTTGAGACCCTTTTGCAAGGGGTTGGGTATATTGCGGACGCTTCCACGGAGTCGCTGAGGTTGGGAGCCAGGTCTGCTGCCCTGACCAATTCAGCCAGAAGGGCGCTGTGGTTAAAAACGTGGCAGGGGGACATCACTTCTAAAATTAGGTTGTGCGGCATCCCCCTCACAGGAGACTGTCTGTTCGGCACTGGGTTGGAGGAATTATTGGACCGGACGGCTGACAGAAAGAAGTCCTTCCCCCTCAAGAGGAAAGTGCAGGAGGGGGGGACACGGAAGGCCCGCCCGGCAAAAAGGCTGAGCCTGCGACCAGCAGGTCAGGGTAGGTCTGCTGGGCAGAGAGGTAGGGGAAGGGGGGGGATTTTTCGCCCTCCTGAGCAACCCCAGAAACCAAGGTGACTTGGTTCCTCCTGTGGGAGGAAGATTGGCGGCCTTCCTCCCACAGTGGGAAGCCGTGGTCGCCAGCCCCTTCATTTTGGATATCATCCGAAGGGGTTACCGGTTGGAGTTTATAGGGCCGCCACCTGAGACGTTCCTTGTGACGATCCGGCGAAGGACACGGCTCTGGTGGACGCCTTGGAGGTTCTAGAGTCCCAGGGGGCATCTCCAGGGTTCCGGAAGAGGAACGAGGGAAGGGGGTTTATTCCCATGTGTTCTTGGTTCAAAAGCCGTCTGGGGCGTTCAGGCTGATTTTGAACCTGAAACCCCTGAACAAGTCAGTGCGTTACTGGAGGTTCCGCATGGACTCCATCTTTACAATCGGGTCCCTAATCCCGCCGGGTGCATTCATGGCATCCATAGACTTGAAGGACGCCTACCTACACGTGCCCGTGGCGGAGGCCTCTCAGAGGTTCCTCAAGTTGGCAGTAGGGGGGGAGGAAGGAATTCGACATTGGCAGTTCAGGGCTCTTCCATTCGGCCTTTCCTCCACGCCAAGAGTATTCACCAAGGTTCTGTCAGAGGCACTGATTTCTATTCGCTTAAGGGGGATATCAGTGGTGGCCTATCTGGACGATTTGCTGCTCTTCGCAGATTCAGAGGCTCACTTGCGGCAGGATCTGGTTATAGTGCGGGGCCATCTAGAAAGCTTGGGGTGGATTTTGAATCTAGAGAAGTCCTGTCTGGTTCCTTCTCAGAAAGTGGTTTACTTGGGCTACGCTCTAGATTCAGTAGATCAAAAGACCAGCCTGACTTCGGAGAAAATCACCAACTTGGAGGCAGGGATCAGATTACTGCAGGGGAGCAGGTCGATATCGATAAGGCAGGCCATGTCGGTGCTTGGATTACTGACAGCGTCCATTCCGGCAGTTCAGTGGGCAGGTCTGCATATGCATCCCCTCCAGTTGTGGGTCCTGAGAGTTTGGGACAGGAGGAGTCACTCCCTAGAAGACCGGGTCCTGGTTCCCCCCAGTGTGAAGAGGTCTCTATGGTGGTGGAGGAGATCGTCCAGCATAACTCAGGGGCTGTTGTGGTGCTTTCCGGTATCCAGGGAAGTCACTAC